CTTTCACACTCAACTCAGATAATCTGCTTCATGCACTAAATTTGACATTAAATTACTGTCGTCGCCGAAAGATATTACACCTGGTGGAATATATCATGACTTAAAAGGTGACCAGAAAGATTTAACCTGCAGGTAAATGCGTGGCACGCGATATGATTTCACGAACACCTCCAGTCGCGACGGTCAAAGGTAATTGGCAGCATCAACACGCACGTAATACAACGACGTTGACGGCTGAAGGTACTTTAACTAATATATAAATTGTCTAAAGTTACGTCACTTTTAGCTTGACTCGGTCTAGAACACTTAGACATTGCACCCCGGGCGATGCGACGCAATTCCAAGCCTGGAGGGGCGTAGAGAAATTATTTCTCGGGGCGAAATGAAAAGCCTTAATACGTAGAGCTTGACTGCAGCTGATATGTGGTTTTATGATATCAGAATAGGTCGAACATAAACATAAACTCGAAACATCAAGAAAAGAAAATTAATAATTTTCAAGTCGTCAATTAAAAACTCGTTAAATGTAAACAGTTTTTTCGCGAATTCAGTTTGCTAAGTGCGGAAAAAATTATAGCATTAGTGAAACATATGGTTCAAATTGAATAAATTTGACATCACAATAATATATCATATTTCAGAAGTAACAAGAATAGAAAAAATATTTAATACACCTACTAGAGAATTCGTGACACAAATTAATTGAACTGTCATATAGGGCTCGACGTAGGTAAGCGGTTAAGAGCGACGGGACTTGTTTCAAAAGCCCCGGGTTCGATATCCACTTCGAGCAGCCTATTGTCAGGCAGCAGTGACAACGATTTTCACTTGGAAATATAGATATGAATAGCAATATGTTTCCAAATGAAACTAGCCCTTGCCCGGCATTGCTGCACCAATAAAAAGTCAGCCCTATTAGATTAATTATTAAATTAATTAGATTAGAAGTAGGGAGAAGTTTCAGCCCAACAGCTCATAGGACGTAAGGTTCTGATTGCTGTTAAAAATATAATATAAAAAAAACTATCATATCAATATGATTAATTTGTATAATTTGGTCCAATTTTCACTGGAAATTATTATTATTAGAGGCAAAACTTTATGTAGTTTAAATATAAATATATACCTACATGCACATAAACCACTATATGAAAAAGTTCTTCAATTATCGTTATATATTTAGTCTATTTCAAATACGTGACATTAATATTATTAAAGCATGAATTATTTATTATAAATCGTTAATATCCTCTAGTGGCTATAATTAATACGGTACTGATTATTTTAAATCATTGATAAATTTTTTATTGCAGCAATATTTTTAGAACAGCCTGAACAAAGCCATTTCTACATACGATACAACACTCCCACGATTTTAATAAAAACGCAAACATCACATTATCAAAAGCCCGACATTTCGTCAAAATAATTTCTGTATATCCAATACGGGACCTAGGAAAATCATCTGAAACATGCCCCGACGAAATGATTTTATCTGCACATACGAATATGACGATTGACGTGCGTATTATATACGTTCTCACTACAGGAAATACGCTGACATTTCATTTACTCCCCGAAGCGTCGCGAGATCGGAGCGCCACCTGAATGCGAGATTAAGTATCCTCGGCCTTCGCCCCCAGCAAGGGGTCGGCTTATCGGGGTGGTAATAAAAATTCATTCCGTTATTTGATCTCGCTCCGGTGACGACGACGACACTGACTCGTGACCTCAGTCGCGGTTTTAATAACAAATTATTTGCATTCGGTATTATCTGATCATATGTCTCACGTCGGTTCTGATTTCTTTTCTGGAATTCATTCATGGTTATTATATACACACCCACACTTTATTATATAGATATATACAGTCATGTACAGACATATATATATATATATATATATATATATATATACTATATATAATATTTTTGTAACTAACATTGGTTATTTAGGTATTATTTTTATTAAATTTATGTTTGTGTTTTATGTATAAATAATTAGTGTGTTTTGTCTACTTAAGAAGAGTCAAATTGGGATTCGAAACGTATAGCAATTAATTTAAATTAATTTTAGAAACATAATTAGGTTTAAAATACAAAATATATTATCAATAATATCACTGTCGTTTTTATATAAATAAATAATAGGATTATGCAAAGGAAGCTTTTTGAGGGAACTACAAATTTTTTTCTTGAAGTATTGTGCATATATATTATTGATTTATATATAAACACTTACCCGCAGATTTATTACTTAACATATATGCAAAACCAAATAAAACAAAGAAATAAAAATATAGTTAAGCTTATTATGATAAATTTATTATTGCTTTTAGTTTTTTTATATTAAATTTATTATTGCATGTTATCACTTTATTTCACAGAACTGAAAGCTTTTTTTTTTCAAATATATTATATGTAATTATTCATTTATAAATATTTTCACGTTTTGAGGATATAGAATATTCCTCTCAGAAACTGTTAAAATACCAATTTTTGCATACTCATATACTTTTTTAATCATTCACAAGTTCACTTCGCTTTTTACATCTAAAACTATTTTTTGTACTGATAATAAAACAATACGTCGGGATAGATAGATCTTTACTATTTCTAGTAATTTTTTTTTGGTTTCAATAGTTACTGAAGAACAGGACATCCTACATACGCAAAGTGTGGACAACATTTATGAAGAACGAATTAAAATGAGATATATTTTGGAAAAAAGGATGCTCTTAGTTCAGAGTATAGTCATAAAAAATAATAGATATACAACAAAAGTAAAACAACGATTTAAATTATATATATATATATTTGTAATATTTTTGCAGACCAACCGTCGAATTAAAAAAGATTAAATAACAAAATTATTTATTCCATTAAACGTTTCGACTCTTGCTGTGTGTCATCATAAAGTATCAAACCAGGAAAAACAACAGAAAAAATTAATTAAAATGTAAAAATTGATTGAACACTAAATTTGTGTAAAATAATAAAATACTATTATATTAACTAACGAGAAATACAAGGAGCACATATTGCCCTCCTATATTTGATGTTATAATAATTGATGTTAGATAAATTTCGACGGTTGGGCTGCAAAAATATTACAAATATGTATCAACGTCGACAAAACTATCATATATATATATATATATATATATATATATACATTTATATATTTTTGCTGTTGTTTTGAAAACAACATAATTAATACGGTGAAAGTTTTATATTTGGGCGTCCCCACTATCAAATATGAACAATAAAACGAGGGGCAAACAAGTTTCAAGTCTGATTAATAATAAATAATCACATCACATAAATTTAAAGAATATTCTTACTATATAATGTATACAAAGTCAAAAGCATATTAAAAAATTCATAAGAAAAAATAGATATTCGAGCCAAAGCTCTAAAAATAATCCTACATAAAATTCTTGAACGATCGTAACAAATAATTCATTTTCATCCCGTCGCTTATTCGCACATAAAGTTTTCGAACCGCCCAAATCGCGTCGGTGGTTTTGACGCATGTGACAAAAGACAGACAGAACGTAGCGAATGCGCCCGCTCCTGAGTTTAACGAGTTTTATTATAGAGCGACGCGCAGAGTAATGACGGACCGTTTCGGAATAAAGTGGGTCCGCGCTCGCGATGACACCATAAACTGCACCTGTACCAACCATACCACCATTTATACCACTATTGTAGGATCACGCAAACCCAGTGTTAATTTGCCAGACACGAAATATAGTGGGCAGAATTACAGGTGCCAGAATTACAGTACTACACATAAACCACAGATAATGTACTTCAGTTGAATTTGGAGTTGAACCGGGTTGTTTCAGAAAACTTAATATTATGTAACGAAAACAGTGATGACAAAGACTTATAAATATGCAAATTTTAGACAGTAGCTACCCCAGTAAGTATTTACTAGTAAATACAATTTTACTGGATCAAGTTAATTGGCCATAATTTTTTCAATCTTTTTAATTTCAGTATAATGCAGAAGCAGCGAGCAAGGAGTGAATTGGGGTAGTTCTCTTTGTGATGATGATTAGTTGATCTTGTTTCTATAAAGTCTTTAATATATAACGATTCCAGATCATCCTGCAGAGTTTTATTGCTAATGTATCAGGGTGCACATATCATTCTAAGTAGTTTTGAGCCCCAAAGCTCTATCGCGTAAGTCCAAATAAGTCAATAATGCCAATGAAATGAAATATAAATTGAAATATTGAATTAAATCTTGTGCATTATTAGTTTAAGAATCAAAATATTGAATCATAAAGAGTACGTTTTACCATAAGTTTTTGATTGCATGAAGATGAGGTGGTGCTTTAATTTAATAATTTACTCATCGCACTTCCTATTGAAATAACCACTTAGGCGTAAGACGCTTGTCCGTCTATGCTTAAGTATTTCAGTATTTCAGTCCCGGTGTGAGTTATAAACGTGGATAGAGTGAGTGCTCGAATGGACATTTCGCGAAATGAAACATAAAATGGTGGCGAGTCTTTGTGTCGTCGTAATGGACGGACAATGGTGTTGCCGACGCGGATTTTCACATCAGCGAATCCCTATGAGAGGACTCCTACATCCTATATGTAGGTGTGCATGTGAAGGCTTTCATCGGCTCCTCTTTTCTCGGACAGACATCAAGGACTACGACAAAGTATTTGATAAGAAGCAATACGTTTTATAGAAGAGATTGCTTTATTTGTATCGGGCGCATGTGACCGATAGACTGAAAACGACATACTGAGGGTTTATGAAAGCGTTCGGCTATTTTTATTCGCGAGGTGAAATTTATTGAAGCGGCGGGATTTTAGTTTGAAACGCTCTTAATGGTAAAAGATTTTGGTAACACGTCAATAGTAAATAATACCAGAAATATTTTACACAATAAAAATGAGATACTAATATCGCAATATATATATATATATAATTATATATATGTGTATATATATATATATGTATATATATATGTATATACCATTACTTATAAGATTATCACTTACTGGCATAGTTTGACTCCCGTGCAAGCTACTAATTGCTGCCTGTGCTTCTTGATGTGAGCTAAACTTCACAAAAGCACAACCTGTAACAAAAAATAAAAACGTTAAAAAATGAATTACAATACATATTATCAAATAAATAATAGTTCATCAGGATATGAATGCTAGATATTTTTTACTTGAATGAATATATTTTAAATGCTTAGTTGTTTAAAAACCTTTTGTGGTAAAACTTAAGTAAGATCTGGAGAGTTCTCTTATTATAAACTATAAACTTTAAACATAAATTAATTCAGAAAATTCATACCTAAATCTGAATGTGCTAGGTCATGGTGGATAACAATACTACAATATGTTAATATCATTGATGGAATTAATTAAAATTGCAAAACATTAAAATTCAGGAAGAGCACAATGAGGCGTGTATGATCCGACAACATTGAAATAAAACTAGGTATTTTTAGAAAAAATGTTAATTATTAATTAATGACTTGACATATAGCTTAATGCAATCATCTTTACAACACATTTTAAAAAAAATTTAATAATTTTTAAATCTGCGATTTTAATATTGATTTTGAATAGCCTGTCTAAAATGAATGTATAAGCTCTAATATTGCTATCATAATATAAAATATAGATTAAATTAGCCCTCATTATATAAAGCACGAAGTCGAATTCGAAGTACAATTGGAATTTCGAAGTACAAATTCTGTCTTCCGATAACTCTGATTCATCTGTCCCTCGAAAATCTATAAGAGTTTTCTTTGTTAAGAGATCGGAGAGTAGTGCCTCTAGAGCCTACCGCCTCTCCGCCCGATACAATGCAAGCAACACACGTGCCTAGAAGGGAGGACGAAGTCGCATTGTGTGCGCGCTACACCGTGGTAAACAGACGACAGGCGGCAGACGAATAGACGAACAGACGAACATACGATACACAGAGAGCGAACGCAGAGAAGATGACGCCTTGTAATTGCATCAGTGCCAAAGCCGCAGAATATCGAATCATTGCCGGTCCAAATGTGTCAGCGACAATGAGATAAATCACTACAATGTGTGAGTGAACTTGTATACGAAGTTAGACGAAATCGATAATGACACGAAGATTAAGAGTCCCGATATCATTCGAGGCTTTTAAAATATCAAACTGTAAAAAGGTATTTCAGTTGGGTAGACAGTCTACCCAACTGAAATAACTTTTTACAGTTTGATTAGTCTACCGTAGACTAATGCAAAAATAATGTACTTGGGCTAAAAATTTATGATAGAAAATTTACCTACTTGGAGAACGGACTATCTGAAAGTTAATATTAAAAGCTAAAACTTTCAGAGATTTTTTTTTAATCATTTTGGAAGTATTCGAGCCCCTGGGAGCAAAGAAATTCGAAAATATCTATATTAAGGACCATCTTAATATAGTCATTTATATATATATATATATATATATATATATATATATTATATATATATATATATATAATATTTTTGCAGCCCAATCGTCAAATTAAAAAAAGATTAGATAACAAAATTGTTTATTCCATTAAACGTTTCGACACTTGATGTGTGTCATCAGTGTCGTAATCAAACCAGGAAAAACAACAGAAAAAAATAATTATGATGTAAAATTGATTGAACACTAAATTTGTGTAAAATAATAAAATACTATTATATTAACAAACGGAAAATAGAAGGAGCAACATATTGCCCTCCTATATTTAATGTTATTGATAGCGTTGCATTGTGGACACTGATATAGATCTACTATATATATATATATATATGTATATATGTATATATATATATATATATGTATATGTATATATGTATATATATATATAAATATATATATATATATATATATGTTAATTATTTTTATGATTACCCAAAATACTTATGTTAATCTCTATGTCCAACTCAAAACTATTTTCTATCGGCTTGTGTACACATCTCCTTTGCTAGTGATTAGACTTGTTTTTTTTCAAATTATATGAAAAAAGTCATACTTCGTCGTTTGAGGCGTGATGGTCAAAATTATTGTTTTTTTTATTAATTTTCTTTTCAAAGTATATTTAATGTTTTTTGGTTCATCAACATGGTTTTTGTGAAGTAATATTTTGTTTGTATTAATAACTTGTTTGATTTGTTTCCACTGAGAATAAAAATTCCAAATAGGAACTCCAAACTTGTGGATAAATTAAATTCATTTGAAGGGACATATTTTAGTTATCTTTCTATTTTATTATGTGCGTGTTATTTATGGCTTTAAGTAGTATTTGGTTTAATTAATTATAGATACAAAAAGAATAGTACTAAATTTAAGAACTAAAATTTCTGTACTGGCATGCCAGAAAAGTAGCTTTCCTTAACATTAGTCAACTAAGAATAATGTTTCTTTTACATCCATCCAAATTTTAATATTACACCCATTTTCTACACAGAATGACACTGCCTTTTAAGACTTCATAGGTAATTTTTTATTCACTTAAGTCTATTAAACGCAGCATAATATTTTCTCGGTGCTATTACATGATGTTTAAGCACTACGAAAACTGCAAAATTAATATTAAACACGAAACTCCGAAGTAGAAGACGACAAGCATAAAATTCTGCACTACGCGTTCGTAAATGGATATTGGGGTTTAATGTCAGTATATATAGTGATAATGGTTTTATATCGAGCAAGAGACGATGTATATA